GAGGGCTCTCTTTTGTTTACTGATTCATCCCCAGCACCCAGAACCAGGCTCAGCATATAGCAGATCTTAATAAACCTTTGAGTGAGTGAATGAATGCATAAATACTACTAGAACTTGATTTAACTACCAAGATCTTTTTACTTCACTCTAGTTCCTGACTCTCAACACTCTTCACATTTCTTGATCTTAAACTCATCCCTACCAAACTGGGATTACAGCTTGATTACTGTATGATTAGTTTTGCCCTGAAGGCATTCTTGTCATAGTGACACTAGTTAAGGCTATGATACTAGAAAAGTATAACTGAGGTCAGCTGCTGGAATACTACAGTGGATCTGAGAGACGGACTTGGATTATCAGGTTTCTTATATTACACCCTCTATCCCTTCCTCTATTCCTTAATAGACTCCTCCAGATCTTTCTAACTTTTCTCTCAGTTAAAAAAAAAAAAAATCTACATAGAAGCCAGGTGCAGTGATACATACCTATAATCTCAGCTGAGGTGGAGGACTGCATAGCAAGACCCTGTCTGAAAATAAAAAGAAAAAGGGCTGGATGGACTGCATGGTGATGCACACATCTCATCCTAGTGGCTTGGGAGGTTGAGACAGGAGGATCGCAAGTTCAAAGCTAGCCTCAGAAATGGAGAGGAGCTAAGCAATTCAGTGAGAGCCTGTCTCTAAATAAAATACAAAACAGGACTGGGGATGTGGCTCAGTAGTTGAGTGCCCTTGAGTTCAATCCCTAGTACCAAAAAAAGGGGGAGGGAGGCTGGATGTAGCTCAGTGATAGAGCACCCCAAGATTCAATCCCCAAAGACCCCCGCCCCAACCCCTACAGATCTACATTAACTGGGTATGATGGTGCAAGCCTATAATCCCAGTTACTGAGGAGGCTGAAGTAGAAGGATGAATAGTTAGGGGTCAGCCAGGGCAATTTASGGAGATCCTATCTCAAAATAAATAAATAAGGRCAGGGGGATGTAGCTCACTGATACAATGGTTATCTAGCATAGCTGGAGGCACAGGTTCAATCTGTGGCACCACCAAAACAAAACCTRCATTAAATTATTATGTATGTCTAGTTGGTCCTTTTTTTGTTTTGTTGTTTTTGAAGGCATGGCTCAGTGGCCCCAGACTCTTAATTTACTCCACATCTTCTTCAAAGTTTCTGTGTTTTGAATTTCCCTTTCTAGTCAGATAAAATTCTTTAGGAGTCAAAGAACTGACATTTTCTTCCAAACAGAAATAAAGTCAATCCAAGGCTACATTAATAAATGACCTGAAAAATGCTTCGCTATCAAAGAAGCAATGTGTTCACAGATAATGGTATCAAATCACCCTTAGTTCACTTAATGTTAGACCAAAAAAAAAAAAAAAAATCTGTCCCATTCCTTTAGTAACTCAAGCCTAAAACACCTCCTCAAATGAATGTCAACACTGTAAATTTATGAGAATCTCCAACTTTCCTTATCATTGTCCTTATCAGGGCTAAAAGTACATTGCAGAAGGACAGAAACTGGATCTAACTAGCACAGTATCTGGCAGTATTGGAAAGAATGAATTTATTTTTTTTAAAAAAGCTGACAGACAAAATGTTAATTATTATGAAATGTAAACACTACCTATTGGCTCAACATTAAATAGATTACTTATACAAATGAGATTGTCTCAAATTCAGAGTCGGCATTACGTAGATTATTAGAAAAATAACCATAGGCTGTGCAGCTTTATCTAACAATAAGCATTTTCTTTATATTATTCTAACAGAATACTTCAGTATTTATAATTTAATTAATGACTAAATTCACTTATTTAAACTGAGCAAAACACAACAGGGTATTTTAATTCAAGTAAAAGTCTATCTATCTATCTATTTATTTATTTATTTATTTATTTATTTTGGTCCTGGAGATTTAACCCAGGGGGGCTCACTACCATTGGGCTACACCCCCAGTCCTCTTTTGAGACAGAGTCTTTCTGAATTAGCATCCCAAGAAGCTGGGATGACAGGCATATGCCATGGCACCCAGCCAATTTTTTTTTTTTTTTTTTTGGTGGTGCTAGGGATTGAACCATGGGTCTTGCAAGGCAAGCACTTTAGCCAACTGAGCTATATCCCCAGCACCTGAATTTTTTAAATTAAATAGTAAAATCTCAACTTTACATCAACATTTCTAGCAAACTTAATATCTGATGGACAGTAGTATCCACAAAGAAACAAAAATTATTTTTTATTTTCTTTCTCTCTAGGATTTGGAAAAAAGCAAAGAGACTAAAAGAGAACAGGTAACAGAACCAAATATTTGAATTCAAAGATTCCTATTCTCTCCCTGAACAACAAGTACAGGGCCCTCCTTATTCCACATTTAGAAAAGACATCTTTCCCTTTTAATTTCTCAAGGACTCTTACACTGGATTCCACTGATACTGCAGTTTTCACAGTAATGTGCATAGGTCATTTGTTCAAGAAATATTTAAGGAACACCAACTGAGCTGAAAAGAATTTCTTTAAAGACAAAAGTAGACTGAATTGCAAGGAATTACCCTGAAGGCAAAAATAGGACAGAATTTAGTTCTTGAAATTTAGTTWAAAAATATCGCCTTATTTATTCTAGGTTCCCCCCATCCTTTCCCCTGGCTTAACAACATGAAACAACCATAAAATACTATTAAAGTACACACTAAAAAAAAAAATCATCAGGGCTGCAGGTATAGTTCAGTGGTAGAGTGCTTGCCTATAGCATGAGCAAGACTGTGGGTTCAATACTCAGTACCACAAAAAAACAAAACAAAACAAAATTCCAGCATCAATGCTGGAAGCCTAAAAATGTTTATAAAAATATTTATCTGCACCAGGCTCGGTGGCACACTGCAATCCCAGCAGCTCAGGAGGCTGAGGCAGGAGGATCTCGACTTCAAAGCCAGCCTCAGC